ATAAAATAGGAGAAGCTACACTTGCATTGATCATCTCCATGAATCTAATTTAGCCATAATTTGTGGCAGACACAGCACCTTCTTCGGCCTTCTTGTGTTCCTCTGCAGCCTGATTCTCTCCATACTCCTTGGCTGTGTCATAAGAGGCATGCAATCCAACTAGAAAATAGTACATCAACAGGATGGCAGTCCAGACAGCAAACCTTACAAAAGATGCACGGTCTATGGATCCAAGAAGAAAAACGTTGATAGCAATGGAAGCTGATGGCAACCAAGGAACCAAAGGAACACCCCACAGTTTTGGAGCCCTAGCCTGTGGAACAAGAACCTGCAGTGCCAAGGTAGCCAAGAACCAAATTGGCACTGTAATCGCATATGCAATCCAGTCATTTTCGCTACTTAGTGCCCAGTAAGCAGCAGTGACACCGGAAGACACAAGAATGAACGCTGTGCAAACGATAAGTTTGTTTCTGTCTGCTGGTGTTGTCACCCCACTGACATAGTATCGGCGAACAAGGAGACCAGCAGCCACTGGCGTGAAGATGAACAATGTTGATATTGAGAGAAGATTGGAAAGAATATTGAGTTCAGTAAAGAAGGCAATGATTGCTGTGGCAGCAAGCATGGCAATTGTGGCATTCATTGGGGTCCCTGTCTTTGGATGGATTTGAGCCAACCAGGGTGGCATCATGTGGGTACGAGCAATATGGGTGAGATATCTGGCTTGACCGACGGCACTGACAAGCAAAACAGTGGTCATGCCCTTCAATGCGCAGGTAGCAACGATACACTTAGCCCAATTCATCCCTACAGCTTGGAATGCCACAGAAAATGGGGCATCCTTATCAATCTGCTGATATGGTTGCATAAGGCATAATGTTATAGCAAGCAGACAGTATGCAGCAGTGGTAATCGTCATTGAGCCAACAAGACCAATAGGAATATCTCGTGCAGGGTTTTTAGTCTCTTCAGCCATTGTTGAGACAGCATCAAAACCGAGATACGCAAAGAAAAGCACAGCCGAAGACTTGAAAATGCCACGAACGCCGAAGGGAGCAAAAGGGGTGTAGTTTTTGGTGTCAGCTTTTGCAAAGCCAGCAATGATGATGAAGAGAATAACAGCTACGTGGATGATGGAGGCAATGTAATTGAAGCGCGAGGAGCCCTTGGTGCTGATGACTGTAACGATGCAAATAACAGTAATGACAACAATGGCAATGGGATCAAGGTGACCATAATCATCAGGAAGGCTGCTCACATTGATGCGGAAATCATTAGCATGGCGGTTGCAAAGGGTAGCAGAGTAGGAAGTCCATGATCGAGCTACGGCAGCACCACCAATGACATACTCGAGGAGAATGTTACCGGCAGCAATGAAGGCCACGAAGTTACCTAACTCTACTCTAAGGTACGCAAATGAGCCACCTGAAGGGTAAAAAAAAAAGGTAAATTGTATTATTAAAAATTCTTCTTTCAAGATACTTTTTCAACTATTTAAATTAACAAGATATCCTAAAGAGTCAACGGTAATCTCTCTTCCTATACACACTACGACGGCATATGGATGGATGATAAAGGGATAGCAGAAGGTTGTGAGTTATGACTCAAAACACACTTAGTAATCTATATCTCATTTACAGGCCTTAAAATTTTTCTGAAAGGAAATAACCTAACAATGAAAATTCTCTTTTCCTCTTGGTATAAGATCATATAGATCACTATGCATTGAGGTTTAACCATTTGTGTATTCCAAAACTCGAGCTATCCCATATTTCAAAATTTGACCAAAATAATTTCTACTTTAAATTCTCGATTCAAATCAATTGACACATACAGACTGTTATTTTCTTTATTCCAACCAAACAGATGAGTGAAAATGGATAACAGTTATCTCGTATTCAGTTAAAACGGAGAAGAATCTAGCAGATCCATTCAAGCTCCAACTTTCCAGTTTCTACCATCCATTCTTATAACTATGACAATTATAATCTTAACGAAAAGAAAAAACAAAACCTATGACTGTTACAAGCATGGGTCAACCATCAATTAACGGTGACAGGTTTCTTACCACGGAAAACGTTTTGTATACGTTGCATGAGTGACAGACACGGTACGCCAT